CTTTCTAGGCCCTCTCAGCTGACAGTAAAGAAATATATGTGTATATATATCCATATATATATATATATATATATATATATATATATATATATACAGATCTGTAAACATTTCTTTATGTAACCATCTGGATCTATATTAAGCTAAACATGAGGTCATAGTGATAATCTCCAATTCTAATTCATTACCACATGGATCACTCCAGCCTTCTCCCCTGTGGATAAGTTTTCATCTATTAGAATGCAGTGCTGATGTACAAGTTCCTTTTGCATTTAGTTTTACAGATTCCACTCGTTTCCAAAGTTACTTAGGTCAGTCTCTTTTCTCCCACTTCCTTCCATGAGACTGTTTTATACATTTATAATATATTGGGTTGTTGGAAAAGTCATGACGCATTTTTGCAATGAAAAACAAGAAAAATACGTCATGACTTTTCCGACAACCCAATAGTTATTTTGTCCCAGTCTTTATTCCATTTTGGGATCCTCCTAAATTATTTTTTAAATTTCCATACCTTAAGGTTCCATGCATTTGGACAAACGCCTAGTGCCATGTATCCACCATTACAGTATTATGCAAAATGGTTTTACTACCATAAAGTATCCTCTGTACTTAATCTATTCAACCCTTCTCTCCCACTGACTCCCTACTGATCTATTTTCTGCCTCCATAGTTTCCCCTTTTCCAGAATGTCCTATAAATGGAATAATACAGTTTGTAGTCTTTCAGACTTGAGTCTTTCACCTAGCAATATACATTTAAGGTTTATTCACGTCTTTGCTTAGTTGGATTGCTTATCCCTTTAAATCTTTTTTTGTTTTAATTGTAGTAAAATACACATAACATAAAATTTACCATCTTAACCATTTTTAAGTATGCAGTTTAGTGGTATTAAGTACCGTATTTTGCCATGTATAATGTGCTCCAGTGTATAATGTGCACCCATGTTTTTGGCCCAAACTTTCAGGGGAAAAAAAATCTTTCGTTTTAATTTTTTAATTCAAATTTTTATTTGTTTACATTTAGGCACTTGTTTTTTGTATTATAAAGGAATTTTAGCATTTATTTCTTAACATATTATGGTACAAGAAATTTTATGCAACAAATAATTACAAAACACAAGAACAGATACAAGGTACAAGAAATTTTATGTCCTGGTAACAAAGTTACAATATTTACACATCACAGAAGGCCAAGAACTCTTCATCGTTGCAAGTTCATCATAAGTTCAACAAAACCGATTATCATATTCCAGTGTATTGTTTTGCATACGGATATCGTTATTGATTTCTAGAGTTACACTTTTAATTCATAGCATAAATACAAGAATTAAAAACATTTGTATAGATATGGAATTAGTCCTACCCATGTGGAATGTGCATCCTTACTTTTCCCCCTCACAAATTTGGGCCAAAAAGTGCCCATTACACGAGTACACAGCAAAATACGGTAAATTTCACATTGTTGTGCAACCATCACCACCATGCATTTCCAGAACTCTGTTCATCTTGCAAAACTGAAACTGGACTTGGGCATCATCAGACCCGCTTTCACCTATAAGCTAGCACTTATTGAACACCTATATGCTAGTCCCTGTGCTACATGGTTTGCATGCTGTTTTATTACACAAACTGATGAGGTGGGTCATAATGACCCACAACTCTACGAGGTAAGTAAAGAAAACTAACTTCATTATCATGGAGACCCAGTTGCGTACCGTTCTTCACACAGGTCAAACGCTGGTTCGTTCTTGGGAAGTCTGCTCCCACTAAACCACCCCGGCCTCTGTGCTGCACCTCCGTCAACTCCCATCTTCTCAGTGGCCCCATGAATAAAACTGAGGTGGTTGGCGGAGATGATGTTTACGGGTCTTTCCAGTTTGACGGTTTTACAGTTTTAGGAGCAGGTAAGAAAACCCTCGGCTTCCTCGCTGAAAAGCAGCTGTCAAACACAGTGGTCACTCCCCTGACCACTCCGCGCGGGGCGAACCAGCACTGGGTCTGGCCCCGAGTCCTGGGGTCCCAGGTCAAGCCGCTCCCAAGGGCGCACGGGCTGCCCAGCGCATGCGCAATGGCCTCCTGGCGCGCGGCTCCCTGCCCGGCTCCGGCCCCGCTCGCGCCCCGCTTCCAGCCCCTGAGAGAGTGGCCGAGGGCGTGGCGTGCTTCCGCTGACCATTGGCCCCTCGGCTGGTGCCCCACCAGGGCTTCCCATCGCCCCTTCTCCCCCCTCCGCCCCGGCTCCCGTCCCAACACCGCCGAGCGCAAAGCCGGGGAGGAGGGAGGAGTTCTCCAGCGTGACGCCCCCGGGGCCTCCAGCTCTCGTGGAGTCGGCCCGCCCCCAGGGGCGTGAGGAGGGGGCGGGGCTGCGGACTTCGGACTCCGGCCCATAGGCCGCCTCCCGCCGAGCCGAGCCGGCAGCCCAGTCTGACCGTGAGCGAGCCATGACTGCTCTGCTGGGGCTCTGGCCCGAGGTGCAGGACACCTGCACCTCGTTGGGGCTGATGCTGTCGACCGTGCTGTTCGTGGCGCTGGCCCGCGTGGTCCTCCGGCAGCAGATGCACAAATCCGTGGCCCACACCTTCGTCTTGGAGTTTCTGGCCACCTTCCAGCTCTGCTGCTGCACCCACGAGCTGCAACTGCTGAGCGAGCAGGAACCCGCGCACCCCACCTGGCCGCTGACGCTAATCTACTTCTTCTCGTTGGTGCATGGCCTGACCCTGGTGGGCACCTCCAACAACCCGTGCGGAGTGATGATGCAGCTGATGCAGGGGGAAATGTCCCCCGAGACAGGGGCGATGAGGCTGCTGGCTCAGCTGATTGGTGCCCTGTGCAGCAGGTACTGCATAGGCGCCCTGTGGAGCCTGGGGCTGACCAGGTATCACGTCAGCGAAAGGACCTTCGCTTGCAGGAATCCCATCCAAGTCGACTTGCCCAAAGCCGTCATCATTGAGGCCATCTGCTCCTTTATCTTCCACAGCGCTGTGCTGCACTTCCAGGAGGTCCGAACCCAACTTCGTATCCACCTGCTGGCAGCACTCATCACCTTTTTGGTCTATGCAGGTTTGTTATTCCCACAAAACACTTGGCACGTTCGGAGCCTCTATGACCTAAGGTTCTAAGTTCTTTGCCAAGATATATTTGAAATCCCTACACCTCTGTGATGTCAATATTGGTATCCCCGTTATTGTAACCATTTTGCAGCCCGTTCTTTATGGATAGGGCCGACATATAGATCCTCCATTCAGTGTTTTTGAACACCCAGAGAAAGGAGCCATTTCTGTGCTGAAACTGAGATCTTTTGAGACATTGCCAAGGTTTCAAATATCCTACAAAGGGATTGTCTTAATGGTAGAAAGGAAGATAACTTATCAGCTACCTACTTCCTCAAGCCAACCTGGTATAGATCCTTTCTGACACTCTCGCTGAAAAATGATCCTGGGCTTATAAAGTTCCTTCCAATTTAAAGCACAAACTACATGACTGATCAGTAGCAAGAGTGGCAGGTAGAAATTATGTAGTTCTCTTCCTGAAAAATTACATAAAGTCATTTATTTCCTTAATAACTCATCTTGAGCAAAAAATGAACTTTTAAGTGACCTATCAAGAAAGATGTGTTTAAAAACAAAGGAAAAATGTGCTTTAAAATTAAAACTTGCTTGAAATTAAAGATGCTTTTTAAAAACAACTTGAGAAATCTATTGATTTCTTGCTGTTTGTTTACCTTGACAGATCTCAGATGCAAAAACAAAAATTTAATGATGAAATGAGTGATTTTAAAAGATTACAACAAAATATCTTCATTGGGGATACGTACATCTGAATTATAAAATGTTTTGGAGGCCATAGTCTAATAAAAGGAAATTCATAGTAAGAGTTTATCTTTTGTCCATTAAAAGTGAAACGATGAGTAGAAACAAGCCTTAAGGACTCGAAAAATATATGCTTGCCCTCCTAGGGTAAAAATTACTTTCCAATCCGTTTCCCTTCTTTAGACCTAGTACCCTTCTTTTTGTACTCACAGATGGAAATAAATGGCATAGGCAAGAGGGCAGGATATATGCATACTTAAGAGGTTGGTGAATAGTTGCTTCTTAAAGTTTTAGGTTTTGGCTAAAGCAGAAACCTCCCTCGTATATGAACAGTATCATCCCTTGCAAAAAGTTATGCCACAGTTGGGGCACACAGAAGTTACCGATACAGGTCACATCAAAATAGCTGATTATGTATTTTAAGATTACAGAGTGTAATTGTCCAGCAACATAGGCACAGGATCCTAGGATAGCCAGCGACCAGGTGTCTGATTGTGTACTGATAGATTTAGCACACTGCACTTTGATGTGTAGAAGGAGGCCACTGATGTCATTATTACTTATGTATTTATTGGCTTCCCAAATAAAGTTTTTTAAAAAAGCTATGATTTATTAACATATTAGAGCTACAAAATTAATGAAGATTTCCAGCAAATCTTTAATTTAGGTATGGGAGAATTTAGCTTAATAAACAGGGTAACAGAGAACTGCATTCATTTTTAAATTAGATATTGAAAAAACCTGTTTACACATCTAAGTTGTTTTTATTATTGCACCCTGTTCATTTCCTTTGTAGAATTTGTAATTATACACTTGTTTTCTGATGTAATGCCTGTCTTCCTCCACCAGACAGTTAAGCTTTATGAGTACAGAGACTAAAATTGTTCTATTCATTATGACGTATAACCAGGACTTAGGATGGTGTCACCTGGTATAAAACTCTCAGTAAGGATTTTTAGGATGAGTGAATGAATTAGCAAATTCTCTACTCACTTTTTAAAAGCTCACAGAAAGAAATACTACATATCTGGGTATTCCATATTTTATGTCTAAGGACTTTTAAAATAAGCCTAGTAAATTATCTTAAGTAATTATAGTATTTTTACTTCATTTTATTACTCCATTCAGGAGTTTTTGGTATCCTTCTAAATCAGAAAGAATATAGGTAAGATTACTTGTCAAAAGAGAAGGGAATGAAGTCCTTTACATATGTCTGTTTTTAATACAATAACCATATCAAATCAGTGCCAATTTAAAAATGAAAAAGATTCAAAAAGGGTCCAAAACATTTATTATGCCAGTATAATATAGTGGTTAAGAGAACAGGTTTGGAGTTGGACTGTGTCCTTAAGGGAGATACTTAATTTAGGATTCAGTTTCCTCATTTTTAAAATGGAGAATAATACTATCTACATCCACTGTGAGGAATAATGTATTCAAGTTCTCAGCATAGTGCATGGCACAAATATTATCACTGGAAAGGGCTACCTTTCACTATAAATTAGTTAATGGACATTCTGGCTTATACATGTCTTATGTGATAATAAGAATGTCATCATTCTGTCACAGAGAATTTGATTCCCTTTAGAGTGCTGAAAACACTAGTGCTAGAACTGCCAGATTTGGGACTTAGTCTTTCACTGTGGTGATTTTACCAAGTTCATGCTGTCCTCCAAGACTCTTGGCAGCTGGCCAGCTGGATCTCCCCATTGATACCTTTTCTTCAACATGTTATGTCTTCTCCCCTTCAAATGTCAGTAAATAGTAACTTATTTTTCAAAGCCATTTTCAGTTCTGTGCCTCATGGATGGTTCTTACTTTTTAAATAGTTCATGGTTAATTACAGAAGTCATACATGAATGTGTTTGGGTTTTTTTTGTATAAAATGGAAACACGAGACTAAACAAGACTAAGTGACTTTTGACTGCCATCCTCCATGCCTGTCCTCTCCTTCCCTGTCTACTTTTCCCACCAGGGTAATCCTCTGTGCGTGTGTGTCCCTCCAAACTTTTTATGTGCATTTATTATAGTGAGAGATAAGACCATACAAAAACTATTATGCTATGTGTGTTTATGTTAACATAAAAAGTTTCATACCTCACTTTCTGTGGTTTGCCTTTTTTGGTGGTGGTTGTTCATAGATCTTGGAGATCTATGTTACAAAAGAGCTTTATCTCATGATTTCGAAATACTGAGTGGTATTCCAAATTTGTTAATTTAGCTATTTTCTTATGAATGGGCATAGAGGTTTTTCCCAGTTCTTTGTTTCTATAAACAAACAACCTTGTATATTTACTTGTATACACGTACCAGTGTTTCTCTAGAACAGTTGTTCCCAACAGGGAACAATTTTGCCCCCAGAGGACATTTAGCAATGTCTGGAGACATTTTTGGTTGCTATAATGTGAGGGGGAGATGGATGTGCTACCAGCATCTAGTGGGTAAAGCCAGGGATGCTGGTAAACATCCTACAAGGCATAGGACAGCCCCTACAACAAAGAATTATCCAGTCTAAAATGTGAAAGCCAATGACACATTTGGGCTTCATTAACACAGAACCCGATTTCTGTGTCAGGTAACTATTGCTATGTAACAAACCACCCCAAATCTTAAAAGGACAATAATTTATTATTTTCATGGCTCTGTGGGCTAGGTGGGAAATTGCCGAGATCAGAAGCTGGATGGTTGGTAGGGCTGGAAAAGCCAAAGGTAGCCTCACTCATGTGTCTGGCAGTTGGTACCGACTATTATCTGCGGTGCATTGGTTCTCCCTCATCCTCCAGCAGCCTAGCCCAGCTGGCTTATACAGTCGGAGCACGGCTCCAACAGAGCAAAGTGGAAGCTGATGTTTATGGAGACCTGAACCTAGAACTCACAGAGCATCACTTCTCATGTTCAGAATTCGCATGGCACCACTTCTGCTGCATTCTGTCTGTCTATGCAAATCACAGAGCCAGTCTACATTCAAGAGAGGAAAGACGACCTCTCGGTAGGACAGGCAGCTTCCACCAAGTCACGCTGATTAGAACTGGTGATGTGATGATTAGAAGGGGAGTGAAGTAGTTTAAGTTTTAGGGAGGTATAAGGCTGACTGATAAGTGTTCTTAGACATTATGGAAGGTCTTTGGCTTTGGAATACCAAAGTAAACTAATTATGAGGGCAATGGTTCAGTCTATTTTTATTGATAAATGCCCCCAAAAAGGCCACTTATTATATATTACCACAGCACACATTACATTGTATTGTAAAGATCTGAGTCCATATCTTTCTGCCCATGGTGTCTAGTATATATGAACTCATTTTTTGTGGAATTGAACTGAAATGACCACCTGCCTACCAATTCTTTTGGCCCTTGGCAGTTGCAGGTTTAACTTTCCAGGATTTGACTATTCAAGAATGATTCTGAAGATCCATGACTTAATGTCATTTATAATTTCAGAGGCATTATGAATCATGCTGTGAGGCTAGTGTGCTAGAAAACTCTTAGCTATCGAGTGAACTTGGTTCATTGCTCATTTTTCTCTCTACAGCTTCAATACTTTCAGCCTATTGAGTGTGAAGTCTTATGAAAGGGTCACTTAAGATCTCAGGCTGCATCTCTGTGGCTCAGGGGCAGATGTATGTGCCCAAGCTTCCCTAGAAATGTCACTATCTCAGGGATAATCTTAGGATGTGTTTTGAAAAGCTAAGCCACAGCTCTGGTGAGCACTGTTGGGTGGCCTCCTCTACCTTTCCTTACTTGCTGTGTGGCAGAACTATTACCTCCCAGGCCTCATGTCAAACGAGATACCCTGGATGAAAAGCTGGACTATGAACGCTGAAAAGCAGTCAGCAGTTAGAATTCGTGCTTATCATTCATGACTCCTCAGT